GTTCTCTCATTGGCTCTCCTAGCCCAGTCACATCACTTCCTCTTCCTAAACAGCTCTGTCACTTTCTGTCTGTCTGTACAGACCACTAGACCTCTATGGTTGGTACTGGGACAAACGGCATGTGTCACCAGGCTTGGCTCTGTTCCTTAGTGTGGCCTTGAACACACAAAGATCCTGCCTGCTAAGTGATATGATTAAGGGCATGTCCTCCCACTGCCTGACTTCTTTGTTTACTTAAAATGGCTTGCTATTCCCTGTGATCTCCAGTCAAGCTTTATTTATTAAAGCACAAATAAAATATCACCATCTTTCAGCGCAAATATCACCACAGGAAGTGGCAACTACAGGCAGGAACTTAGGCTTCTGGACTCTGAATCCTTCATGCCACCCATCATAGTCATCATGAAATCTGGCCACCAGATGCAGAACCATGTTTAATACATGATGATATGTAGTCGACCCTCATATTGACAGATACTGTATTATCAAATTCATCTGCCTGTAACCACCCAAATCAATACCTATGTTGTATTTGATCACCCAGAGCCCTGCACATAGATAATAAAAACTTTGTCTTCTGATGAGTTTGTTCTCATGAGAAGTTTAGGGAGGGAATATCTGCCATTTGTCTCCTGCTATAGGCCAGCTTCATTTTTGTGTTGTTATTCTTGTTATTTTGCCTTTTTTTTCATTACTGGGATCAAGCTCAGGGGTTTGTACATGTTAGGAAAGTAATCTGCCACTGTACCATACCTTCAGCGGTTACCAGTGTTCATTTGTGGTCTGTTTATTGGTATGTTATTTATCGCTACTGTCTCTTGCTGATTTTGCCATTTAAAATGTCCCAGGCATAGTTCTTAAAAGCTTTCTAGCATTCCTAAAAACAGACTCTGATGTCCCATATAGATTATCCTCATCCAGGCTGGATTTATGGTGCTGTTGGCCTGAAGTTCAATGTAAATGAGCCAAAAGTACATCAAACATGAAGACTTTGAAGAGAAGCACATCTAAAACCAGGGTTTGCATTGATTTGTTGATGAAAATGTTGTGAGCAGGGGTTCCTATGACCTTTCAGAGCAATGCTTTTGTGTTTGTGGTCACATCATAAAATGTGACTACCTCAAACTGTGAGAACCAACTGGATTTGAGCTCCTGTTATCTTGCGTTCCTCAATTAATGCATTAGATGTTAATGTGTTTTCAAAACGTCTACTTATTGAAGGACATGCAACATCAATGGGGTGAGTCTTCCCCTCAAGGGGACAAAACGTGTTTCTTGAACAAGACCCCCTTGCTCTTTTTGTGCACAAAGTAAATGTATGTATGCACTCACCGTTTAGCAGCAGTCCATCACAACCATGATGTAGTACTGGTGTTGGTAGGGATAATTACCAAATGGAGAAATTTATCATTTTCTTTGAGGAGCAATAAAGAGATTCAGAAGCACAATTGAGAGCATAGTGAATATTTAATATGGTGAAACATCTAAAGTATGAGGGTGCACCACACAATCCAGGTGCTTGCAGCCAACTCCATATGGTACCACCAATGACCATCATTGTTGCTTCACCTTTATGCCCTTTCTTCATTCACAAGACAAGGAGGGTACACACACATTTCCATTGGTGACTGAGAATTACCTCAGGCATGTATCATCTTTGGACTTTCAATGTGATGACAGTTTAAAAATGAATGCTTCCAAAACAAAGGAATGGTCATTTAAGGTGATAGATACTCTTGAGTATTCTGATCTAATTAATCATTACTCATTGTGTACAAGTATTCAAAAAACAAATTAGTCCATTGACATGGATAAGTAAGTCTTACTTACTATATGCAGCAAGACTCTTTGGACATGGCATCTTGGCTTCACTGCAGAGGAATCCTGTTGTAAGACTATCTCTTAAGGGAGGACTTTTCTGCAATGATTTTGGATTGATAGTGTAGAAAAGCAAAAACCTGAAGATGTGAACAATGAAATTAGACCAAACGAAGCTCTGATGATGGTTTACTTTGTTGTAAGAGAGAACTCCCTGCCTGTTGTGGTAATAGCCATTTCTTTTTTATTTAAAAAAAATTTATTCATTTTATATGCCAACCATAGACCTTTCTCTTATCCCTCCACCCCACCCCCCAGCCTACCCCCATCACCTCCATTTTTAATGTCAGCACTTGGGAGGCAGAGGGAGGCATATCACTGTGATTTCATGACCAGCCTGATCTGCATAGCAAGTTCCAGACCAGACACAGCTAAGACCAGACACATAGTAAGACCCTTTCTGCAAAAAACCAAAGGGAATTCCTGAGTTCATTGCAAGGAGTGATGGACAGGTGGAGTTAATTCTTACATCTCAGAGCAGCAGAGACATCTTCAATCCAGGCACATATTGTCTTTAGCAGCCAGTGTTTAAGATTTGAAATGCAAGTTAATCTCTGCAAAAAAACACCATCACCTATTATATTTAATTAATGCTGTTACTCTTTAATGTTATGTGTTATATTATTTTGAGCTTAATTTGTTATTTTGTTTTCCTTTTCTTGTTGAATCAGAGGTAGAACATATGGAATTTATTTTAAGTTTTCCATTTGCACATCCACTAAGCAATAACATAATTAAAATAATTTAAGTCTATGTATTAGGTGGTGTACAATAACATTTTTGCCTTGTTAAAGGGAGTGTTTATGTTACTTGGCTTTGAAGAATAATCTAATGGACTCAGAGTCATTAACAATTTGAGCCAGCAGAAATCTTTCAGTTTAAACACCTCCCCTTCCAGATATAGTTGTTGAACTTCCAGCACAGAAGGGAGCCAGGGGGAGTGGATGTCCAAGATTACAAAGCAAAGGAGATGTATACTGAGGCCAGAGACCAAGTTCACATACTTCTAAGTGGGCAAGTGACTCACCATGTCATTCTACCACCAAAGGCTCCAATCCAAAAGGTTGGTTAGACCCAAACAAAAACAGAGTTACTGGAGCATCTCACTTAATGCCAAGGGAAGCATTTGTGAAAGCAATCTAAATAGTAGACTTGTTTGGAGCCTTAAGTCAGCAAGTTAACAGCAGTGGTAATGGGAAACACCCGTTTGTCTTGCCTGCTCAGGTGATAGTACCCATGATTTTTCCATGACTTTCAACATAGGAGACAGAATCCTGAAAGCTCCTTATTTCTAAGACTTTATGCTGTTCTACTCTGTGAAATTAGATTATGAGCTTCCTCATTCAGACTTGGCTTCGTCCATATGGGCTACTGTGATTAAATACCCAAGATTAGGTAGCTTATATGCAATCAAACCTATTCCTTACAGTTTAAAAACTGGTAGTTAAGGATTGGAGTGCCTGCACAGTTGGATCTTGCTAAGGACCTGCTCCCTGGTTTACATACTGCTGTTCTGTTGTACCTTCATGTGGCAGAAGAAGGCAGGGAGCTCTTTGACAAGGGTACAGATGCCATTTATGAGGATTACACTCTCACGATCTGATTACCCCCCAAGCCCTTCATCTCTTAATGTTGTGTCCTGGGAGCTTAAGATCTCAACAGTTTGGTAGAAAGTAACTATCCAATGGCCTGAATATACCATTGGTCAGATTGTTAGAAAAGAGTGCTTCTTGGCACACTGTAAATTTTTTTTATCATAACTCATGGAATGAAACAATCGCACCTTTGATATAGTTAGTGGGTTTTCTGTTGTTGCAAAAATCACTATGACATAAGAAAATGTAACATAAGTGAGGTGCTGTTGTTATTTCACAGTTGGGTCAGGATTCTGGGTATGCATTCACTGAGTCCTTCGCACAGGGTGGTACAAAGCTGCAACCGAACTATTAGCCAGAGTCATACTCTTTGTGGGCATCTGGGGGTCCTCTTCTTCATTCCACTGCAGAGTATGACAAGCCTAACGCTGACCTTAATATTTACTGCTTGAGATTCAAGGACAGCACAAGGTCCTCTTTCCTCTAGACCCTCGCAAAACACTCACCTCATTCAGTCTACACAAGATATTCTTCCTTTTGCTTAATTAAAGATTTATTAACTTGGGGACTTTAGTCACATTGCCAAAATCCCCTCAACTTTGCTGTATTGTGCTAATTAAAGTTACAGTGCTACAGGTATATTTAAATTACAGGGAGGAGATGGGAATCTTGGGTATCCTCAAGGACATGGGTAACTTAGAGCATTTTGAAATCTCCCACCATAGCTCTCAGACCCTCCCATGTGTGGAAACTCAGCCCTGAAGATATATATATATATATAAACTCAGGTAGACCAGAGCATCAGAACTGAAGTGTGTGTGATTGGAATTTAAGCTATAAAGTTCTTTCTTGTGGAGAACCTGTCCTGTCTATTCTAAGACACTTAGCAGCAACCCTGGCCACTGTCCTCCAGGTACCAGTAGCACCTCTGTCCTGCTTATGGCAACCAATTGACGCCAAGCATTCACATACATCTCATTGCATAGAAAACACTTCCTGGATTGAAGACCACTGTTGGTCCAAAAATCCATGCACTCGGTGTTTTGTTATTTTCCAGAAAGTCATATTAAACAGTGGAATTTGTGTTCTTAAAGTGATAGAGCCATGTGGACCCAGCCAGCTCTTGCTCGTCTGGTAGTTTTTCATTCTGAGATTTCTTTATTTCCAGTGCTAGTAAATGAAAAGTGTATAGTGGTGTTAATGCAATGGATGTGCTCCCCATATGTACTTACTTAGACACATTTGTTCCAAGATAAGATTATATATATACATTGGGCGTGTTTCATAATCTTGTCTGAGTTTATAATTAGGCCATACTATAAGAGAGCTTTAATTCCACTTTAATGTGGCTCAAGTATTTCCCCAAAGATATTCAATGCATAAGTCAAAATCCTTTCATAAACTCCACCTTTTGTATTAGAGCCACTTACTTGGAAATGAGTAGCTTAGTGTGTGACTGAGTAAAAAGCATGGTCCAGTTCTGAGATTACAAAACTCAGAAGCTATTTTTTCCTTGTTTTGCTCTAGGCAAAGGCAGCTCAAGCATCTCATCCGACGTGAGTTCAAGTACAGATCACACGCCTACCAAAGCCCAGAAGAATGTGGCCACCAGCGAAGGTAGGCATCTCTGGTCTTCATATCGTATCTTCCCTTTACAGAGCTGACTGTTTGAAAGATGAAGAGAAATGAGGGAGATTTACGTCTAGTCTATGGCATGAGACTCTACCAGATTATTAAAAAGGAGTAGGCAATGACCTCCCAAGGTTCCCTTTGGCTAGTCTGTTGGTACTTCCAATGAAGTTGATTTGGTGGGATTTAAGTGTCTTAATGTTAAGGCAGATGATATTATTTTGCAAAAAGGTGATGAGCTGACTCAAGAGAAGCCACTATGACATCATATACCAATTTTCCAGTATTGCAAAATGGTATGATATGAGAGCTTTTGATACAAGTTGAAAAGTCCTGCAAGAATGTACAAAATAATTGTTCCTTAAATTCAGGATGATGCTGACAAGAGGGTCACATGTGTAGAACTTGAATTAATCACTGAAGTTTGGGATATGCAAAGAAGCTTTGTTTCATTATTGAAATGATATGTGAAAAGATATCACTATAAACATGAACATCTCTTTACACATGACTGATTAAGGATTCCACAGCTGTTTCTGCAGAAGTACATGCTGGAATTCAGTTGCTTCCCAGAAGCTTTGAGCTATTACTTAATTGAGTGAAGAATTATTTCTGTGATTTTTAGTAGAAAGTTGACCCAATTATTTTGTCTTAATGTGAAACACAATGGAAGATTTCCTTTCTGAGTAAGAGTTCCCTCTAGATTAATTATCCAACAAAGGTCATTTTTTGTGCCATTAATGCTGGAAGGCTTTTTAAAAATTTGCATATTTTGTACATCCTGATTTTCTCAAATGTCCAGGGTGCTGAGGAAGCTTGTGTCCAGTTTTTGTTTTCAGGGCTTAGTGTCTGCTGCTCTTAACATCAGGAGTTGTGCTTACAGACTGACGTTGGCCTTTTGAGTTCTGTATGTTCTGTTTACCTGTATTGGAGTCTATGTATTGATTGATGTATGGTGGTGCTTTTCCTCCATGATTATTTTTCTCTTTCTGTAAGTTTTGTCTGGTTTCAGGGAACACAGAATGACCTTCTCAGGGCTCATTATCCTCAAGCCAGTGTGTAAGAGGCTCGGATGGCTGGATCCTATTCATTTGTGTTTAGAACCTTGCATTGTTTCTTGTGTGTCAGCAGCTCCTAAGGCAGATGGATTGGTGTGGTCTACTTAGCACAGCAAAGGGCCAGGTAGCAATCCAATTTTAATTTTCCACCTTGCTAAGTTAAACGGGGGGCATTTGATCACTCTTGAAATTCAGTGGAGTCAATGAGCAATCCTCGCTGTTTGGTTATAGCCACTTGCTTTTGGCAGCTCCATTCCTAGAATGCAGAGGGAAAGTGACTTCCATTTATCCAGAGTGGCTCTCTTCAGCTAGAAATTCCTTTTATGAGATTCTCAGTTCTTCCGGCTAATGTGTGGCAGTTAATCTTGCCACATCCATATGTCTATGGAAATAGATAAACTTTGAAATCATCCGTGTTTGCCTGTGTTTATGTTTTCTCATTATTGTTTTTTCCCTTTAAACATAGAAAATACTGAAGTGTAGATGCTTTTTTGAAAGAATTGGGAAAAGAAACTCTAGGATTTTATGCATTTAAAAATGTTGCTCTCTATGTTTAAATAGGAAATTAACCCTGGGGACCTCAAGCTTTCTTTTCTTTTGTTTTTCCTTCCAGAGAGAGGCACTGGTTTCCATACCAAGTTTTTATGCATTTTGTCATGATTGTATTTTTGACATTATGAAAATAATACCAGGGAAAAAAAGACTAAGAAAATTTGATATTCTTATGAAACAGAATGGGCTAAATTAGTGTGGGTTTCCTTTCCAGATCTTAGGGGGGAAAGTCTCAACTCTGTGGAAGATGTCATTCAGTTGGAGAGCTGAAAAATAATAAAAAGGAATGTGTTAACCTTTGCTATCTGAGAGTGAGGGAGGAGGGGTGTAAAGAATGAAGATTCATTTTGTCTGCATGTTTCTGATCAATGAAAATTTTTAAAATATTAAACAATAAAGGCAGTGTGGGCATTTGCTTCAGGGAATTGTGTTTGAGGGCTGCCTGCCACGCAGATGCTCCTGTGTAGGATGGTGAGTAGCCAGGCCTAATTTTTTCCCCACACAAATGACAGGGCCTCAGGCTGCTTCTCAGGATGAATGATTAGGGTGGCACATTCTCTGACCTGCACAGGTGGATTTACCTGATGTTGTGTGAGTTGCTTCCTTCTGGAAAATACCGGGTGACCCTTCTTGGCAATGATTTGGTGGAGTAACAGAAGGCCAGCATCGCTTCCTACAGAGGCAACAGGGGGCTACATTAAAACTCTCTTCTGACTATTGTCAAGAATTATGTTTAACCTTAAATTAAAAGAAAAAATTGCATGTGTGTGTGTGTGTGTGTGTGTGTGTGTGTGTGTGTGTGTGATCACATGCATGTGCAATTGCTCATGGAGGCCAAAGGAAAACCTAGATTCCCAGGTCCTGGTGTTACAGGCATTTGTGAGCCACCACATGTGGGTGCTGGGATCTGAACTCAGTAGAGCAGTGTGTACTTTGCAGAGCTGAGCCACCTCTCCATCCCCACTGTTTAACATTTGATGTTAAGAAAATTGGTGAGAGTGGAGCTGATTTTACAGTGGTTTGTTTGATGGACCTTTCTTTATTTTTTTCACCTCTGACTTCAGCAGCATTGCCTCCTGGGAGCACAGGCTGACTCTGAGTTTAAAGGTCAATAAATAATATATATTATTAATTTCCCTGAGCTCTTGAGAACATTAACAGTTGGGTTGCAAACACCATACAGTAGTGCTGGGCTGTCACTAGGTGGGATGGGGAGGAAATGGAAGGTACTATATTGGCCCCTGATTTTTGTTGTTGTTTGTGGTGATGTGTGTATCTGTGTCAACTGGAGTCTGACCTCTATCATGTGGCTAATGGTACTGGCTATGTTCGTTATTAGAAAACATGGATTCTACCATACAATGTGGTATAAATTGAGAACATGGTGTGCAGTGAAGAGAAGGATAGTCACATCTGCTTTTAGCTTGGGTGGAGGATGCTAGTGGAAGTTTAACTATAAGTTAACTATAAGTAGACCCAAGGACAGCCATTGAGAAGATGACCATGATTTTTAACTGGACAGTTGTAAAGGTTGTAGAAGGAGCTGATGCTTCTGCAGATTTGTGTGTAAATCACAGTAAAAAACATCTTGAAATTGCTGCCTCTAAGCTTTGAAAGGGGAGCAGGAAATAGTCATCGCTGCTCTGGGGCTATGGCTTGGCATGTAAGACAAAAGGAGCCAGGGAGTAGCCTGGTGCTGCCAGTCAGTGTGCAGCGTCTACTTCAAGATGACACAACATAGGATGTGTTTCCTGATATTTGTTAATACAATTTGTTAAATCCATGAGAAAAAGCTTCTTTTCAACCTTTGATTTAGAGGTTTTCTGTGTGGACTAGGCTGACCTTGAACTTGTGGGCTCTCTGCCTTGGTTTCCGAGTCCTAGCTTTATAGTATGCATTATAACACTTAGCAGAGAACGGCATTTAAGACCCACAAGGAATGTTCTCTTGCAAACATTGTGTGTATCTTCATTGTGGCTCAGCCACACACTCCTAAGACATGGCTGGAGGCACAGAGTGCTCCCTGATAACTGATACAGGATTTCTTTACAGTCCATAAATACTCCGTATGATACTTTAAGCTCATGATTTCTTGATACTATAGGGCAGTGGTTCCCAACCTTCCTAATGTTGCGACACTTTAGTACAATTCCTCACGTTATAGTGACCCCCAACCATAAACTTATTTCATTGCTACTTCGTAACTGTAATTTTGCTGCTGTTGTTAATCATAGTGTAAATATATGCAGGATATCTGATATGTGAGTACACCAAAGGGGTTTCAACCCACAGGTTGAGAGCAGCTACTATAGGGAGGGGGTTTGGGTGCAAGTATAGAAATTGGCATTGTTCATCCTCCCAGCATAATCTGCATGCTAACTAACCTTGCACGTCACAGTCTAATTCCTTCCAGTTGTGCTCTTCTTCATGTTCTACTCTTTGAAGCCATTCCCATCTAGTCAAATGTTCTATCCTAAAAAGAATGGCCTTTGACTGCAAACAGTGACAGTCACATCTAATGCAGTGTCAGTGGACTGGGTGAGGTAGTGAAGTCTCCTGGAGAGTAAGCTGAGTTTTGCACATGACATGAGAATGTGGCTTTTGAGGTGACGTCTCAGCAGATCAGTCTTTCTCCTGCTCTGGAGTAAAATGAAGTTAGTTCAGCTAGCCTCTCTTTAAACACAGCCATGTCAGCTATTGCTCCCAGGGATTGATCAAGTGTGGTGGTTGTTTTATAAATGTTGCTTATGAGGCTAGTCATCTGCACAGTTCTAAGATTTTGAGGCTATGAGGGATTGGCCAGTTCATTCCTTCATTCCTTCCGTCTTCCTTAATATATGTAACTGTTTAATTGAGTTGTTAGCAATTTAGAACACCAGTGTGTGAGGATGCATCCCATTTGTCAGAGTGAACTGAGATCACAGTTAGCCATGGAGCTGAAGAACAACTTTGATCTTGGGCAAAATGTGGGAGTGCACAGGGTTCTGATCAGCCGTGCTCTAACTGGTATTTCTACATGTAGAAGATCTCTCCCTCCTGGTGCCTGGGCATGCACAGCTGTTTCTTCTTGAAGTAAACATCAGTAGGGTGTTTGGGAATTTTAACTTGGCTAATAGTGACCTTTGTAGAGGTGGCAATGACAAACTTCTAGTGTGTTCTATGTGGAAGAACTCTGTGAAGGCCAAGAGGTCCAGTGAGAAGTAGCAGCCACTACCCAGATGCTTCAGGAAAATCATTCTTTTGCCTGTGTAGCACCAGGTGAGGGTGATCAGATGGTCCTGGGAATGATGCTGGCACAGAGCCATCTCATGGGCTGGCAAAAGCACATTTTGCTGCGGCTCAGTAGCTTCCATGGCATGTCTTTGGTAGGATAATACC